TCCATATAAGGTAAAACTCCGACTAATGGCTCATAGTCGGAGTTTTTGAGCCAATCAGAGAGCTAGAAATGCAATAGTCGGAGCTGAGAATATACTAAACAAAGATATTCAAATACATGGTAAGTTTTGCAAAGGTTATCAAGTTTTGCAAAACCTGGTGTTGTCTCACTTTTCTCATGCAAAAGTTTGGCCACAGTTTTAAAGCACATTTGTATCCACTTCGCATTGTCCATGAATTAAGGTTGTACATGTACATCTACCAGGCTATTTACTTGGCAACTGTGTTTTAAAGCAACTCTCTATACAGTTGGGTAAACAAGCAACCCACAATGGAAGGGGTGAGTGCAAAACCAAGCTAAGACATGATTTAGTGAAAAAAATTTTTTTCTCAAAAGTGCCTGAATTTTTGCATGTGGTCTTCAATGTAATAAAAAAACATGGTCCTGTAGTTTTGCCGCTGGCAGAGATGTTGATTTCACTTGAAAAATACACATATATGTTCACGTCAACGGCCAACCGCAAAGACACTTTTTTCCCCTACGAAACAGTTAAATGTAGATTTCACGAGAATGTATGACCACAGAGATGCTCATTTGAGTTATGACAGAGCGAAATGTTGATTTCACGAGGCTCCCAAGGTTAGGGTTCTGCCCCGTGACCCCATAAGTTTGAAACACTGCAAATCATGCTGATTTGAAATAAAATTCTTGTTATAATTGATTGCGACTTGTTGGCCATTACCTGTGGTACTCCCTGTCTCAATAACTACGTAGTAAAATCTAGTTCCTCTTAAATTGCTGTTTACAAGGCTTCTAAAGCCATGAAAACGTCCACTGCACGTGATCGCGATGCATGTTGGGAAGGTTCTTTACAACTCTCGTGCGGGAAACATGACGGTCGATGCAAGACATATTTTAAAAGACTAAAATCAGTTCTCACTTTCCAAACTTTGATGACGCAATGCTTGGCAAATGGGCCACAACTCGCGAGAGGATTGTTTTCTTGAGCAAGAACTGCTGTAGGACTTTGCTGCCTGGATTGACCTGACTTCCAACACGAATGCCTCAATTTTATCAGTTTGTTTGAACATCAGAAAGCACATTTTGGTTCTTTAAAATGTGCTGATGACTTACGGGTTTATCAAGGCTTTTTAATGCCTCTCAACCACCAGGTAGGTAGGCATGCAAGGTACTTTAAATGAACATTTCAGTTGTTTGTTGACAAAGCTCTAAAGCATCGCATCTCTTTTCTGTTCGACGGTATTTCCTCTGACGCCTGATCGATTTCACGGGTGTGTTCAACATCACAAAAAGCGATGTAAACAATGTTTCCCTGATTCCCACTTTGTATGCTATTGTCCGACTTCCAAGACAGCTAACTAATACAGTAACTGCAGGATTTTATTTTGACTTTGAACACTACAAACAGAAGCAACATTTACGCATCGTATTGAGGTAAGGCATCGCCTTTGTTGCTTCAAAGAAAACTATTTTGACCCAGGCAGATTTTCTTCCAACAATGTGCAAACGAGTGAAAAAAGCCCAGGTCAGTGTTTCAAATATAATTTGTAGTCAATTTCCCAAAAACGAGGCCCTTCATTTGAGATAGTCTGTCTATTTCCTGTTCAACAAAAAAGTCCTAAAGACCTGGCTAAGAAAAGCCAAGTTTTTTTGCCTACATTGTAACTCAAACAATGTTCTTCTATTACATCGAAGACCATAAGCAAAAATTTAGGCACGTTTGAGAAAAAAAAAAATTTTTCATCTAAATCGTCACTTAGCATGGATTTGCACTCACCCCTTCAATCACTACGTTTATTTCAGTCAATACAAATACAAAGTGAAGCACTTATGCAATGTACTTAGAGCGCCCCTCTTTAGGGAAACAATACAAGACGTAACTGCATTTCGAAACATTTTGTCTTGCATTATTGTGGTAACTTTCTTTTGACTGGTACTGTGGTAGCGTATTACATCAAACTACTATAAATTATTTTAGAAACAGAGATATGGGAACATCTGCAAGAAATATATTTTGATTTAACTGAAAAACTATGATGGATTACAGCCAGCTGTACATGTATACTTGCAAATTATTGACCTTGTCACAAGATTGATTGTATTCAAATGCAAGTTAAATGTAACTTTAAAGACCTGATTACCCAGTTCATAAGAACTTGGTTCATGCAAATTTGATTGACTCGATTAACTATTCAAATCAGTATGATACTCCTATCCTCACTAAACTTGAGACGGATGCAAACTACAAATTGCCAGGAGACATAACAATAAAACCTGCTATTAATAACTCAAGGTTTTTTTTCTGTTGTTGTTGTTGTTTTTCAGGGTTCCGGTGGCTAGCTCAATATATATAAACTACCGTCCTATATTTATGGAACAGAAAAGTGTTATTTCATCTTATGTCCTCATCTAACAAAAATGGAAAAACACATGCAGAAGATGTGAAACCACAAAAAACAACCTGAATGAGAAAATAAGGGTTTTTGTTCCCTTGGCTTGAAGGATTTATCACAATATGCATTATTTTCCTTTATGATTATGGCTCTTACCATTTCCAAGCTAATCTGATTGCGTGACAGTTTAAAGAACATAGGCCAGCTCTACAACACACTGCGTGTAGGTACAGTTTGTATCATTAGATTTATTGTGCTCACATTTTTTTAGCTTAGCTTAGTAATGGCATCCAAAGAGCTATCAATTTTAAGTACATATAATGATTTACAAGTAGGAAGCAAAGAAACTGTAGGGCAGTTTCTCTGTTTTTCCTGTTTAAGATTACCCAAATGGACAGGTCTTAAGTTCAGATACGCTGATAATGCACTTGTTAGCAACCCGTAGTGCCTGAATTAATTAATAATTGTTTTCCTCAATCAAGGCACTATTCTATAAGGAATTAGTTATCAAATTACATTTAGTATATGCAGTTTGCTATATTGATTTTTGCTGAGTTTTGGTAACACTATCCTGTGAAGAACAGTATCAGACCTCTGCTTTGTAAGTTACCCTAGTTCAACTGGCTTATCTCCAGTTCCCTGTTATTAGAATGAAGGTTCTTTAGTACATTGTGCAATTTTCTCAGAAGAGACAACTGGAGACAGGCCAACTTGTGTTCTATTCACATGACAGGAGGTTTACCATGACTACAAAAAAGAATATTTTTACAAAAATAGACCTACTTAATGCATTTAANTTGTTGTTGTTGTTGTTGTTGTTTTTCAGGGTTCCGGTGGCTGGCTCAGTATATATAAACTACCGTCCTTTATTTATGGAACAGAAAAGTGTTAGTTCATCCAATGTCTTCATCTAACAAAAATGGAAAAACACATGCAAAAGATGTGAACCACAAAAAATAACCTGAATGAGAAAATAAGGGTTTTGTTCCCTTGACTTAAAGGATTTATCACAATATGCATTATTTTCCTATATGATTATGGCTCTTACCATTTCCAAGCTAAACTGATTGCATATCTGAGTCTGTATCATTAGGTTTATTGTGCTTACATTTTTTTTAGCTTAGCTTAGTAATGGCATCAAAAGAGCTATAAATTTTAAGTACATACAATGATTTACAAGTAGGAAGCAAAGAAACTGTAGGGCAGTTTCTCTGTTTTTCCTGTTTAAGATTACCCAAATGGACAGGTCTTGAGTTCAAATACACTGATAATGCACTTGATAGCAACCCATAGTGCCTGAATTAATAAATAATTGTTTTCCACAATCAAGGCACTATTCTATAAGGAATTATTTATCAAATTACATTTTAGTATATGCAGTTTGCTGTATTGATTTTTGCTGAGTTTTGGTAACACTATCCTGTGAAGAACAGTATCAGACCTCTGTTTTGTAAGTCACCCTGGTTCAACTGACTTATCTCCAGTTTCCTGTTATTAGAAGAAAGGTCCTTTAGTACATCTTGCAATTTTCTCGAAAGAGACAACTGGAGACAGGCCAGCTTGTGGTCTATTCACATGACAGGAGGTTTACCATGACTACAAAAACGAATATTTTCACAAAAATAGACCTACTTAATGCATTTAAAATGTTGAAATTTCATCACCTAGGTAAATGTTGCCCTGTTTTGTTAGGCTAGTACAGGTAGAGTTTTGGAATGACTCTTTTAAGTTTTTTTTTGTCGTATTCCATAGGAAGTAATTAATGAATTCACTTATAATAGTTTAGAATAATTTAACTTCAGCTCAAAACTTTTCCAGTTCCACAGCTGGTATAAATCAAAAACTCTTTGTTGTGCCCTATTGGTCGCAATTGCAGCTACTTGCCATCTCTCAACATCTCCTGAAGTCATATTATTTTGAAAGGGTCACCACTATAAGACAGGAAAAAGTCATGTGGCTGCAAGTAATGCAGTTAGGACACTTGAAACGTGAACACTTGACATTGCTAAATGCTTTTGTCAATAATTACGGAAAGTCCAGTTGCTATGGTCTTTGAAAAAGAAAAGGAAAAATAAAATGTCAAGTGTTAACGCTTTGAGTGTCTTCACTGTGATGAAAATGGCCATTGATAGGGTTTGCTGGGTTTAATGGAAGTTTGCTGTGTTTTGTGTGGAGAAGACTCCTTGACAGTCATTATTTGGTTCAACATTTTTATTGAAGAGGACAATCACATGATGATCCAAATAACAACAGGAAAGGAGAGATTTTTGTACAAGTGCAAATTTAATTTAGTAAGTTGCACTGTACATGTGGAACTGGAAAAGTGAAGAATAATCGAACTCTGCTATTTTGTGGCCTTTTGGATCAAGATTTACAGGAAGATGAGAGGACTGATGTCAGACCAAACCTACTGGTTTGGATTTGTCCTCTTGTAAAATTTCATGTACATTGACATTAATGTGAAATAATTATTTTATATGTACAGTATTAAAGAACTGAAACTAAAAGTTGCGAATAGAGTTGTCTGAGCTGCATTATTGTTAGGCTGGATTCCTAGCGGTAGTGTGAGTTTGCAAGTTGCACCCCGGACTCCCAAAACGGCTGGAAATCGAGCCTACATTATTGTAGATACATATGAAAATGTTTGCGGTATTTTTCCATGTCTCCCACCAGAAATGGATCACTAGACTAGTTCTTTGAAAATTGGTAAATACTGACGGCGTCCAAGGGGTTCGGGTGAACATGATCATTTATTTCAAGGGAACAAGGGATATTTTCCGGATTAACTTAGGAGANAAACGTGAACACTTGACATTGCTAAATGCGTTTGTCAATATGGAAAGCCCAGTTGCTATGGTCTTTGAAAAAGAAAAGGAAAAATAAAATGTCAAGTGTTAACGCTTTGAGTGTCTTCACGGTAATGAAAATGGCCTTTGATAGGGGTTGCTGGGTTTCATGGAAGTTTCCTGTGTTTTGTGTGTAGAAGACTCCTTGACAGTCATCATTTGGTTCAACATTTTTATTGAAAAGAAGCATTACGTGATCCAGATAACAACAGTAAAGGAGAGATTTTTGTACAAGTGCAAATTTAATTTAGTAAATTACACTGTACATGTGGAACTGGAAAAGTGAAGAATAATCCAACACTGCAATTTTCTGGCCTTTTGGATCAAGATTTACAGGAAGATGAGAGGACTGATGTCAGACCAAACCTACTGGTTTGGATTTGTCCTCTTGTAAAATTTCATGTACATTGACTTTAATGTGAAATAATTATTTTATATGTACAGTATTAAAGAACTGAAACTTAAAGTTGCGTTTAAAGTTGTCTGAGCTGCATTATTGTTAGGCTCGATTCCCAGCGGTAGTGTGAGACAGCAAGCTAGTAGCACACGGACTTCCAAAACGGCTGGAAATCGAGCCTACATTATTGTAGACACATATGAAAATGTTTGCGATATTTTTCCATGTCTCCCACAAGAAATGGATCACTAGACTAGTTCTTTAGGGCGTCTAAGGGGTTCGGGTGAACATGATCATTTATTTCAAGGGAACAAGGGATATTTTCCGGATTAACTTAGGAGAACAAGGGTACTTATTGCCATCAGAAGCATATCACCGC